GAGAGAGAGAGAGAGAGAGAGAGAGAGAGAGAGAGAGAGAGAGAGAGAGAGAGAGAGAAGATGGGAGAGGTGAGGATGACTTCGTTGAAAGGGGGAACTTGGCTGGTGGTGTTTGGCTGCTTGGTTATTGTGTTATGCTTTGGAGAAACGGTGGCGTCTAAGTCGAAGTGCAAGGCGTGTTMKTGGAGAGAGGCCTGCAATGCGGTGCGCTGCAGTKGGTCGTTTGATCCTGTCTGCGGATGTGACGGTGTCACGTACGTCAATGGCTGCATTGCTTGGTGTAAGTGCRTCGACAAGACGACGCCCGGAGTTTGTCGCCGTCGGTGTAAAAGCTGTMAGTCTTATGGAAACAGCTGCCAATGCACGAAGGAATATCGCCCTGTTTGTGGATGCGATGGGCGTACGTACGGTAATCCTTGCCTTGCGGAGTGCGCCTGCATCTACACATTTACGGAGGGAGAATGTGCAAAGTGAGGAGTCACCCAGACTAGGACTTGCGTGAGCTGCATCTGGAGTCATCTGTGGGCAGTGGATCGTCTTACGTTTCTCGTATTCCATCTCGCGCTGGACTCCATTTGTGTGGAGCAAGTTATGGTTGACGGCTGCTTCATCTGACAGTCTATTGAAATCTGAAAACCTTTTGTTTGCGTTTGTCGCTTTGAATGTGACGAAGTAGGCCTACCACRCTTCAGAGTCTGAGGTTTTCTTCTTTCTTGAAAAGGAAACTTTAAGGAACCGGAAAACTGTCCAAAGTTGGCTCTCCGATTAAGTTTCCGCCTTTGTCGATTGTGGAAAAAAAAACGTTTTCCAAAATGTTATGGTCTGTAATTCAGTCTACGAAGCTATCCTTTTCGTTTTCGATTTCTTCAGAGTTCTCCTCCTCTGCGTCTTCTTCTTCTTTTTCTTCAGAATCGTCCTTCTTCTTCTTCTTCTTTTTTCTCGTCGTTGTTCTTCTTCCTCTTTTTTTTCGTCCTTCTTCTTCTTCGTCTTTTTTCTCGTCCCTCTTCTTCTTCTTCTTCTTTTTTCTCCTTCTTCTTGTTTGTCTTCTTCTTCTTCTTCTTCTTCTTCTTCTTCTTCTTCTTTATTATTTTCAGTCCAGATGATGCTAGGCCTCGGGAGGTTCCTATGGTTGCACTCGACCAGTGGGGAGATCAGATGGCTTGTGACAGCCCCAAGGACAGTTTCCTCCAGGGGCCATCATTCGTGAACTCCTTTTTTGTTATCCTAATCAGATCACAAGTAGAACCCTACAGCGGTGCCACCCAGACCTGTCTCTAGACCTAGACCTACACTAACCCRCGCCTTCCGAAGGTCTCAGACGAGTCCCCCCAGGCGTTACCATAGKGACACCCCGGATTCTCGAGGATGACCCGGACGATCGAGAGGTCATTCCCCACCTGTATCACATCTAGGAGACTCTATGGGCGTCTACCACCCTTCTACTATCAATGCGAAGACCAACCCTCTGCTGCCAAAGATGAGACCCCTACCCAGAGACCTCTCCGGATTCACGCCCCAATCGACCTTCTCAATGGGAACGCAGACAGGTACCAGCCCGGATGAAGCCCGGCCCGCAAGCATCGGAAGATGGACATGAGGCCAGCCATTGGGTATCATATATGCCTAACACCCAACCCTTACTGATACTCAATGGGGCTATAGAGAGGGGTGCCAGACCGGGATCACGGCCGTACAATGTAAGTATCGACTCTCGCAGGTGTACCATGAGGCCAGGAAACTACTATGGTACCCAAGCACACCCATGACACCCCCACGGAGCAGCGCATACGAACCAGGCGGCGCACAGACAGGCCCACAATCTCTACACAAATTCCTACCTAACCTAATCTAGACCTACCCAACCTACCTCCTCTACCCCGCCCATGGTGAGTACACGAGACATGACCCAGAGATCACTGGACCACACCCTACACACAACCCACACACACACACACACACACACTCGTCAGACCACCCCAAGGCCAACCACTCAAACAGCCCTCCTCCAAGGCCCTGGTACCAGCATACTACAACCATGAGTCCGACTAAACCCCTTGGGTGCAGACAGTGTATGTAATAATTACCATGCATCAGCCCAAGGGGGAATGCGTGAATGGCTTCTGCACTGTGAAAGCGCTGCTGCCGGTGTGTACGTGCGCGAGGCAACGGAGTTTTGAACCCACAACCTCATAGGCTCATACCACAATGCGCATATCCAACCGGTGGTCTAACCACTGAGCCGACTCACATTCCCTTCTTGTTTGTCTTCTTATTTGTCCTCTTTTTCTTTTGGGATACTACGGCCATCCATTTCCGGCATCCCTCGAATACAACACACTCACTACCAACTGTAAAGCTGGGTTGGATACATTCACGATTTTCCTCGCTTTGGAGCAAAAACCGTGACTGAAACTCATTTAAAACTGAAAACTTCAACTGCACCCTAGTTTTCCCTTTTCTTTTTCTTTCAGAGCTGGGTCCCTCGTGGAGCTCATGGAGAGTAATACTTGATATAGAGGGAACGTCACAAGACTGACACAGGGGCTCGTCCTCATTCTATCAAAGTGTCAGATAGATCACTGCTCCACAGACGCTTTCAGCTTTGATAGCTTCGCTTTGTGTCCATGTGTGTGTGTCTGTGTCTGTGCTTGTGAGTGTTTGCGGGGGGGCAGGGGGGCGTGGCGTGTGCCGGTTTCAAAAAACTAATACTAAAAATCCCTTGTTGTTGCTCTCCCATTCTTCCCCTCCATAATATAAGGACCAGCACCCAAGGAAGCAGAAAGATAGCTCCCCATGAACCCTTCAAAATAACCCCCTCTCTAATATTCGGGGCCTTTTCCAGAGTAACGGGACACATAATGATGCGGGAGCTTCCCCCGGGCAAACTAACAATTTGGGTCGCCCTGACTTAAGGGGCTCGCCACACAGCCTTTCGAAAAGAGGCATTTTCCAAAAGTTGTCAGACGGAATTCGAAAGTACTTTCGAAAGAAAACTCCCCTTTGCCACACAGACTTTCGAAACAGTGAGGGCTTTCTATATGCACATTAGGGCCTCGACACACTACTCTCGCCATGTGAAAAAAGAGGGTGTAAATCTTCCCCTTGAACATGGAAAGATACACCACCATGATTTTTGTCTTTTGTGCATGTTGAGAGTAGTGGAGCCAGGCCCTTGTAAACCCCCCTTTTTTCTTTTTTTCCCTGCAAATCGGCCGTTTCGGGAGGTCCTTTCCACAAGACCACTCACGGCCTTTCGACGAAACACTCTTGACAGGCGGGAGGATCTTGCCCTTTCAAAACTACTTTCAATGCCCGCGTCTCTGTCACCATTTGAAAGTTTTTCGAAAGGAATTGTTTCGAAAGCCTGTGTGCCCAAGATGCGGCAGCCATTTTGCACGTTTCAAAAAGGCTGTGTGGCGAGCCCCTAAGAAAAGAACAACAAACAATGGTGGACGCGGCAGGTCTTGCATTGACAAAGGCAAAAAAAAACGCGTGCGGGCAAAGAAAACAGGCGCCCACTTTGCAATTAGGGTCGCTGGGCATTTTATTTTATTTTTCTTGCCCCATCTAACACCACGGAGGACCCCCGTAAACATGATACCCGGCCTGACATCACGGCCTTTTGTACTTTCACCCGGCCTGACACCACGGTTGTTGATACTTTTACTACTTCAATTTCTTTTATTTTTTTCTAAGTAACAAAAACAAGGCTCCATTCTAATTGTGGGGAGCAGCACATGCCGGGAAAAGTGTCCCTTATAAAATTGGAAGTTGAATGTCGGGGCTGGGGACCCCACAGTCTATCCGGGAATGCACACACAGATACTGGGAGCATTACCTGGCTTCGCTTTGGAAAGAGACACTCTCTCTCTGCTGGAAAACGGTCAGTGTCTCCTGGAAAACGGGTCCAGTGTCCCATCGTTACTGTGAATTCTGTGCTAACTACCTCACAGTCTGCAAAACTGTATCTGAGTCCTGCTTGTAAGACCTCTCAGCCCTAAGGCCGTCTAAACTGCGTGGCCAGCAAGACTCACAAGTGGGACTCGGAATCCTGAAACCTTAAGCTGATAATTTCTGAAGTACCGTTCTACTATCAGTTCAAGACTTTGTACATCTGTACTGGCCAGGGTATTGGGGGTGTTACATTCATACATGTTAACTGTTTTAGACAGCTATCTTCCTCCTCACCCCTGCTCTTCTACCAGAGACAGGGGTGGGGTTGGGAAGCTATGTGACAGTCTGAACGCTGTGAACGTGCGTGCGCGTTCAAACAGGCGGGGGCCGTGTTCAAACGCTCTACTCGCCATGTGGTGCAAAAGTGCTGAACCGACCCCACCATTTGCATGCGCGCGTCGGGGACTACGGGGTGCGGGACCTCGTTCTTCAAAATACTCCCCCCCACTCCACCCGACACACACACACGCGCACACAAACAAACAAACAAGTGTAGTACTATATGTTTCCATGTTCTAGCGGAAGATTCATCCGATTTTGCTCATCCTATCGATGGAAGTAGCAACTCCTGACTCGAATGACAAGATGACATCAACAGAAATCTATTTGCAGCAGAGGTCACCAGGAAAGTACGTGGGAAGGTACCATTTACAACAAAACTCAAATGCATAAACTACAGGGCAAGGGCAAAGAAGCACTTCACTCCTTGAACCTTCCGTCGATGAAGCTCCTCAATCGCAGGTGAGTTCTCCTCTTGCTCTTTGCCGTGCCCCTTCTTCTTCAGCCCTGAACTCCCAGTCAAACCCTTATCTATCTATATATATATTTATATATCTATATCTATATCTATATATATATATATATATATGTACAGGGTCACCAGCGGGTACGTACGGATGTCCCCGGGCCGACCTCCGTACGTACGGGCGTTCGGGGTCCCGTACGGGGTCCGAACCCGGCGGCGTTTGGCCCCCGCCAAAAATTATTTCGGGGMCTAAATTTTTTTTTTTTTTTTCTGAATTTTTGTTTGTGAGTTCTCTATCACGTGAGGTACCTGCCTATAAATTTTCAAGTGATTTGGCCTAGCCAAATAGTAATTTAAAATCGCCAAAAATGGCAGTGTCAAAACGTGCTCGCCCACATTTTTTTTCACTTTTTACTTTTTGTTTTCACTTTAGTTCGGGGTCTTAACAATTTTATTATTTTTTTAAAACATTTTACTGGGTTTTGCGTGATGTGAAGTACATATCTGTAACTTTTCATGGCATTTAGCTATGCCAAAAAAAAAAGAAAAATCGCCAAAGATGGCGGTGTCAAAAACGTGCTCCTGCACTCACTAAATTTAATTCTTTTTTTGTTTTTTGTTATTTTTATTATTAGTATTTGTTTTTCGGATTTGTTTTTTTTTTCAAATTTGGTAAGGGATTTGGATGTTATGCTCAGGCAAATCTTTTTTAATTTATTTTTCTCCACAACATATCTTGTTTTCAGATTTTTTGGAGGACTTTGTTTTTTTTTTTTTTTTTTTTTTTTGGGTCCGCGTTCGGCCCGAACGGCCGAACGTATCCCCAAGGGGTCCCATACGTTCGGGCGTTCGGCCCGTCCCGAACCCCGGTTACCCTGTATATATATAAATATATATATTTTGCCCGTCGGCCTTCTTCCTTGCCAGCGTCTCAACTCTGAACTCTGAGCGGATGCAGCAGGAACCAGCTCTGATACCACTGAAATGAGCCAAGTACTCCCCAAGTTCAACCTCGCAAACATCAATGAACATTCACATGAGAGATCACAAGTGAGAATCCAAATGGAGATAATCAACTCT